ATCTCAGGTCATTGGCTATCTCCTGAACCGTATCTGCACATGATGAGACTCTAAGAAGCCCAACCGAAGTTTGGAATTGGGAGGAAGAAGCAAGTAGAGGGTGCTGCACAGTGCACAGTGGTAAAATGAGACTCTCTGCAAGGCCGTCCCACATGAGAAGGTTCTGAGTTCATGTCTGGAGACCTCTGAGTATACAGAGCATGTGCATGCCCGTGCTCCAGGCCTGGCTGAAGCTGGACGTAGATTATGGGGTATCAGGAATCTGTTTGGGGTGATGTCTCTCTTTGTCTTTGTCTCTCTCATTCATGGAAGAAATAAAGAAATAACAACAACAACAAAAGAAGTAAAAGATTTCAGCAGTATTGTGCTAAAGAGACTGAGATTAGTGGTAAAGCTTGTTGAAGTGGAAGATTCTTGATCAAATACCCTACCTGGGCTTCTGCTGACCCCCCGGAATGACAATCTTCCAGTAATAAGTACAATTCCCTGAGCATAAAGAAAAATTTGGACAAAGAGATGAAAAGATAAAACCCTTCTCAGGTAATTTAGTATATTAAAAAGGGTCTTTGGACCAGCCCATGGCCTGCTTGGTAAGACGGCTCGATTCCCATAGCCAACTATGTGGTTTGAGTCCTGGACCCCATGGCTTGAGAAACACACTGGGCATATGTATATGCATGTCCGAAATCCCAAAAGGAGTGAGAAAGGGAGGAAAAGGAATTGCAGTGTGACCATTCCCCATGGGAGGTGCTTTTTCTCTATATCTCTTTCTGGTGAGTGCATACACCTTAAAGTAAAGTTTGTTTTTAAAGGGGGGTGGTTTTTAAAAAAATTTAAAAATGAATTATAATGAGCATTTCAGAACTGAAAAAGAACATAATCTGGAGTCGGAACTCATTCAATGGTTTTAATACCAGATTAGATACAAAACAGGGTTAGGATTCTAGAAGACAAAAATGTCCAAACTTCTAAGCTAATATGTTAGCTTCCCAGCTTATTAGAGCTATTCTTATTTTTATGGATACTTGTGCCAGTTCCCCATTTCTTCCCAATCCTCGACCTAATGCTTCTCTTTTCTCTTGGTTATCTTATTTTTTAAATTTCATACACAAAAATTTACATATATTTATGGTGTACAACATACTTTGAAATATGTATACATTTTAGGAGGACTAAATCGAATTAATATACATATTATCTAACATCTCATTTTTTGTGATGAGAACACAAAATTACTCTCAGTAATTTTCAAGAATATGTTATTAACTAATACGTTATTAACTATAGTCACCATTTGTACAATGCACCATTTGACTTTATCATGTAACTGCAATACTGCTGTGTTTTTTCTACCAATTGTTTCAAGTTCTGTTTCCACATATCCCTATTGAAGACTTACATTCCTGGTATTAGTAGAGCATATTAGGAATTTTTCATAAGTGGCAATCTTTGGGAGAGGCATACCTAGCAGGCCAACCTAGAACACAGTTAGTCATACCACACAAAGTGCACAAAAGTCTAGGGAAACAGGTAATTGGCACCAAGTAAATTTAGCAGCAAGCAGATGGAAACGTGCTAGGGATAGAATCTGGGTTCCAGAGACAGAATTCTGCTTCCCAGAAAATTAGGAAAGGAAAACAGATTCCTATTTCCACAAAATTTGAAATTAAGAAAAAAAAAGGTTATGAAACTGTGGTAGGAAGCATAACCAGGGACTCACAGCTGTAGCATGGGGTTAGTGAGTTGGTCCACACACAAAATAAGGGGAGTCTCAGGGGAGAGCGGCAGCACTAATAACTTCAAGCCGGGAAAGGTCTGTAACCATTAAATTCCTGCTTTATTAGAGCCTAGCTAGCCACAGAATCCAGTGACTTTTTAGTATTTTCAGGTATGAGAATTGGAGGGCTTTGAGAACAGGGAAACATGCCAGTCATCTTACCATATAACTTAAGTTATATAAATAGCTTTCTATTAGGGCTGTGATTACTTCCATCGGGTAAGTCATAAATTTGGCTAAGTAGGGGCAAGCAAGGGGGTATAGTGGTCAAGGCGTGGGACTCTCGGATGATCAACTGCAGTTCAAGTATCAGACCTGAAGGCTTGAAAATCACACCAGGCACATGTGTGTGTGTGCCGAAAATCCCAGGAGGAGAATGAAGGAAGAGGGACTGTGTCATGGCCATCCCCCCTGGAAGGAGAATTTCTCACTTTCCGTTTCTCTGGCATGTACACACACCCTATGGCAAAAAAACCTTAAAAATAAAATTTGACTGTATAGGCCTAAAGCTTGGATTCCATGCTAGTTCTTGGAAATATATTTATATTAAGGGGTTAAATGATTTAATTTTGTAATGAACTATGTAGGCCGTGTGTGTGTATGTGTATTCATATCTAACCCACCTATTGCCCCATACTGCCTAATTTAACCTAATTTTATCCTTAAAAGACTAGAGGGCCAGGGAACCAGCAGTTAGCATAATGGCTATGTCGCTGGACTCCCACGTAGTCGACCACGGTTCGTGACCCGGACCCGGTGGCTTAAAACTCACGCCGGGCGCGTGTGCGTGCGTGCCCAAGATCCCGAGAGGAGAATGGAGGAGAAGGGATTGCGGCGTGACCATCTCCCCTGGGGGGTGATTTCTCGCTTTCTGTCTCTATGTCTCTCTCTGTCTGTCTGGCGAGCGCACGCGCCCTACAGTGAAAATCTCTCAAAAAACAAACAAACAAACAAAAGACTAGAGGGCCAGCAGGTGGCATGATGGTTAAGGCAACTGGATCCCACATTGCTGAGAGCATAGTTCAAGCCCTGGACCTAGTGGCTTGAGAATCATGCTGGGTGCATGTGTATGCTTGGCAGAATTCTTAGGGAAGAATGGAGGAGAAGAGACTGTCGTGTAGCCATCTGTCCTGGGTGGGGTAATTTCTCACTCTAGCTATCTCCATCTCTCTCTGGTGAGTACACATGCCCCATAGCAAAAACTTTTTAATAAAGACTAGTTAAGAAACAGTCTTTAACTAGATCTTGTTTTAATGTTAAATTTTTAGACTTTGCCCAAAACTGTGAAGTATAGTAGTAACTACTATTACTGCCCTCTTGGACTAAAAGCTTTTCTGTCACTTCCCTCTCCCCTTTTAAAACTAGGAACACTTTTTGTGCCACTGGGTCTTAACCTGTTTCAGGGTAATGCCTCATGGATCAGGAATGTAGGGTTCCTGATCTTTGTTTAGTCATTCATTCATTCAGATAATTTCTGAGCAGTTACTATATGCCAGGTCTGAAAATACAGTCACTTACTGAGTTCTGTTTACAGCTTTTGCCCTTGGCAGTCTTTACTCCAGTCAAGAGAACATTTTCCTAAGCAAACCACACTAATTTTTTAAAATTTCTCTTTGATATTTGATTGGTATAAATGTAACTTTGTTTGAAGTTATTTTAAGATTGCCTTTTGGTGTTGTTAATAGCAGTTAAAAGAAAAAACAGGGGGGCTGGCAGATGGCGTGGTGGTTAAGGGTGTTGTACTCCCACATGGCCAACCTTGGTTCCAGTCCCAGACCTGGCGGCTTGCTTTCTCACTTTCTATCTCTCTTTCTCTCTGTATCCCTCTCTGGTCAAATTAAAATAAATAAGTAAATAAAGTTAAATAAAATAATTCTTTAATTAAAAAAAGAAAAACACACAGAGAAAATGAGGCTTTCGTAATGGAGACTTGCTAAAAGTTCAAAACCTCCCCTTTTTTTTTGAATTTCACTTATCATTTAAGTCTCATTTTAAACTCATTGTTTTAGATTTCTGTGTCTTTCGTTTTTCTTTTTAAACAGTTTAGTAAGCAAGGTCCTTGTCTTCTATCAATAGTTTTTCTCTTTCCCATCGTTCACTATAGTAACTACTATAAAAAAAAAATAAGGATTATTGAGATATAATTCACCCTTTTGGATAAATTCTTCCAGCTTTAGTAGACAATTCTATGAGTTTTGACAAATGCATATATTCATGTAACCACTACTAGAGTTGAGATATAGACCAACTCGATCTCCAGAAGTTTCTTCATGCTGCTTCCCTCCCCACATCCATTCCCTGGCAACCACAGCTCTGCTGTCACTATTGATTTGCCTTTTCCAGATTGACTTATAAATGGAATCCTATACAGTTTGTAGCTTTTGAATTGAACTTCTTTTCACTTAGCAAAATGCATTTGAGATTCATTCATGCTGTTGTGTAAAGCAATGATTTGCTCATTTTTTCACATTTCTGAATAGTAGTCCATCATATTGAATATATTGTTCTTTTGAATGAGTATACCATAGTTGGATTACCCATGGACCAGCTGAAGCACATTTGAGTTTTCTCCAGTTACTGGCTATTATAAGCAAAACCACTTTATGCATTCATTTAGTAACTTCTTTTTAAATGGGAACAGCTTAGGGATTGGTCACTGATTGTATTAAAACAGCCAAGTGAGAAGACATCAGAGTCCCAGGATCTCATACTAGTTTTGCGTCACTGAGATGCGATTTAAATGATGTAAACTTCTGTGCTTGCTGTTGGATTTTCAGTAGTCATGGTGCATTTTTGCATAGTAAAACATGTCATGACTTTCCATATGACCTAACACTTTTGTGAAAGTGCATAATTCAGAGCTTATTTTATATTTAAAATAACAGTTTTTTAAAACTGTATAAGTAAGGGATTTACTAAATGCATTTACTAAGTCATTTACTAACTGTTTTCTCTAAGAAGAGAAACTATGAATGGCCATGTACATTGCATAATGCTAAGTTGTATGAAATCACTATAACTAATACTTTGCATTGTGTCTTTTTGAGTCCAGTTTGCTTAACAAGTTAAATTTCCTCATAATCTTGAACTTTTACTAACTTTGTAATCTTACTAATTTTACATTGGAAAACTATTTCAATAATAATAGTCAAATATGATATTTGATGTTTTCTTTCAAAATATTTTAGGTTTCATCTTTAATTTGTATTTTTTTTTTATTTAGATGGGTCTAGGAAAGACAATTCAGGCGATTTCAATTGCTTACTTCTATAAAGAGGAATGGCCTCTTCTAATAGTAGTCCCATCATCTCTGAGGTATCCTTGGACAGAAGAAATTGAGAAGTGGATCCCAGAGTTAGGTCCAGAAGAAATCAATGTCGTTCAGAATAAAACTGATGTCGGGTAAGAATAGTATTTTTCATCTTTGAGACAAAAAAGTCTGCTTTGTTTATGTGTATTTATTCTCATGTTTAGAATGAAATATCACCTGTAGATCATAATTTAGAAATAAGAGAGTAGCATGAAGAGTTTAAGTTTATATATTTTTTTCTTTAGAGAGAGATTTTTGCTATAGGGAGTGTACACTCACTAGAGAGAGAGAGAAAGAGTGACAGAAAGTGAGAAATCACCCTCCGGGGGGGGATGGCCATGCCACAGTTCCTTCTCCTCCATTCTCCTCTTGGGATTTTGGACATGCACACAAATGTGCCTGGCATGAGTTTCAAGGATTCGGGTTCAGGACTTGAACCACAGTCAGCCATGAGGGAGTCTAATGATGTAACCATTACACCATCTGCTAATCCCATATTTTAGTTTATATTTGAAAATATGAATTATTTATGTAAAACAATACTACATTTAATTTCTAAGTTCTCTTATGATATATTTTAAAAGTAAGTGAAAAAATGTATACTTTAAAACATAAATGTAATGTATCTATTTAGTAGTTAACACTTGAATGACATAAGTTTGAGCTGTATTGGTCCATTTATATGAGGGGTTTCTTGTTTTGTTTTTTTTTTTGAGAGGTTTTCGTTATAGGGCACGTGTGCTCGCCAGACAGACAGAGAGCGACAGAGAGACAGAAAGTGAGAAATCACCCCCCAAGGGGGATGGCCACGCCGCAATTCCTTCTCCTCCATTCTCCTCTCGGGATCTTGGGCACGCGCACACACACGCCTGGCTTGAGTTTTAAGCCACCAGGTCCAGGACGTGAACTGCGGTCAACTATGTGGGAGTCCAGTGACATAGCCATTATGCTAACTGCTGGTCCCATGAGGGGTTTCTTTTTTTTAAGGAATTGTTTATTTTTTTATTTCATTTGTTATTATTTTAAAAAATTTGATCAGAGAGAGACAGAGAGAAAGGTAAAGCAAGAAAGCAAGCCTCCAGGTCCAGGACTCGCGTTCAGAGCCTTAACCATCATGCTACCTGCTGACTCCTATATGTGGGCTTTCAAAACATACATACTATAAATATGTTTTGTCTCCCTTGTGATTTTCTTAATATTTTTCTTTTCTCTAACTTACTTTATCATAACAGTACAGTATATATCACATATAACATACAAGTGCTAATTCACTTTATTTTTTTAAAGAATTGTTTTATTTAGCTGTATTTATTTATTTATTTTAATTTTACTAGAGAGAGAGAGAGAGAGAGAAAGCAAGTCACCAGGTCTGGGACTTGAACCATCGTCGACCATGTGGGAGTCCAGCACCCTTAACCACCACACCACCTTCTGGCCCTGACTTTATATTTTTAGTAAGGCTTCCTGTCAGAAGTAGACTATTAGTAGTTAAGTTTCTTTTTTTTTTTTTTGAGAGGTTTTTGCTATAGGGTGCATGTGATCACCAGAAAGACAGAGAGAAACAGAGAGACAGAAAGCGAGAAATCACCCCCCGGGGGCATGCACATGCCACAATCCCTTCTCCTCCATTCTCCTCTCGGGATCTTGAGTATGCATGCACATGCGCCTAGCGTGAGTTTAAGTCACCAGGTCCAGGGCTTGAACCACAGTCAACTACATGGGAGTCCAGCGACATAGCCATTACACCAACTGCTGGTCCCTTAGTAGTTAAGTTTCTAGGGAAAGTTACATGTGAATTTCTCACTATGCAGGGTGTTGGTTCCCATAACACATTTGTTGTTCAAGAGTTCACTGTATATTCTTTAAATATATAGTTGTCCCTTGGTATCCACAGAGGGTAGGTTCCAAGACCTCTCCTCCCCCACTGAGGATACCAAAATCTGTGGCTATGCAAGTACCTTCTATGAGATAGTGTAGTATTTGTATATAACCTACATAGGTCCTCTCATATACTTCAGATCGCATCTAGATTACTTATAATACCAATACAATGTAAATAGTATGTAAATAGTTGTTGTACTGTGTCATTTAGGGAATAATGATAAGGGAAAAAAGTCTATATGTTCAGTACAGATGTGACCAGTTTTTTTTTTTTAATTTTTTTTTTTTAAGAGAGAGATTTTTGCTATAAGGGCACGTGCAATCACTGTAGAGACAGAGAGACAGAAAGTGAGAAATTACGCATGGCCATGGCATAATCCCTTTTCCTCCATTCTCTTTTGGGATTTTGGGCACAGACACACATGTACCCAGCTTCAGTTTTAAGCTTCACAGTCTGGGACTTGAACCATGCTTGACTATGTGGGAGTCCAGGGAAGCACCCATTATGCCATCTGCTGGTTCCCTTTTCTGAATATTTTTGATCAGAGGTTGATTAAATCTGTAGATATGGAGGGCCAGCTATACTGAAAATCAGCTACTTCAGAGTTCAAAACAAATTTCACAACTTTTCAGTGACTCACTCGAAGACTTTGATTTTTCTTATTATCAGCTATGGTAGATTTTGCTTTCTAAGTTTTTATTTAATATACAAGATTAATGTGTAATTCAAAATTAATCCTCGCAAGTTTAGGTTTTTTACTTTGTTGATTTGTAAATATAATAGTTTATATCTTGATAATATTTACTTTGTTATTATTTGTAGTTTTTACATTAAAAAATTATAGTATTTGTTAATTTTGCCTTCTAACCATTGGACTAAGTCAACCAATTTAAATATTGCTAAGTTATTACATTGAATATCTAGGTGCATTATGTAAATTTTCATGTTTCCAGAGGTTCACAATTATCTACCTCTGAACTTTCAGTCAAAACAATACATCAACCCGGCACCAGCAGTTAGCGTAATGGCTATGTCGCTGGACTCCCATGTAGTCGACCACGGTTCACGTCCTGGATCTGCTGGCTTAAACTCACACTGGATGCATGCGTGCCCAAGATCCTGAGGGGAGAATGGAGGAGAAGGGATTGTGGTGTGGCCATCCCCCCTGGGGGGTGATTTCTCGCTTTCTGTCTCTGTTTCTGTCTGTCTGGCGAGCGCACGTGCCCTATAGCAAAAACCTTTCAAAAAAAAAAGAAAAAAAAAAGTGCAAAAACAATACATCAACCTGAATGAACATCTGTTAATACTTAGAATTTCCGTAGTATCTTTGTACTATGTTGTTTTTGCTAAGATTTTTAAATTGTGTTTGTAGAAGTAACTGGCCTTGGTGAATGTAGGAAGAAGAAACAGTCAAAATGGATGGAGGTTCTTTACTCGTTCAACCTTGAAACCTTAATTCAGTGGAATATGTTTTTATGGGCGGAAGAAAATTTGAGTACATGGTTAAGATATAATAAAATGGGGGCCGGTAAGTGGCATGGTGGTTAAAGGCTGGACTCCCACATGGCGGACCATGGTTCAAGTCTCAAACCTGGTGGCTTGCTTTCTCACTTCCTCTCTCTCTCTGTGTCTCTCTGATCAAACTGGAAAATAATAATGATAATAATAATAAAGTTAAATAAAATACTTCTTTTTAAAAAAAGATATAATAAAATGTAGGCCAGCTGTGATGGCACAGTGCTAAATAATGCAGTGCTGAGACCATACGGGAAGGTCCTTGGTTTGAGTCAGAAGGTTTTCCTATGAATACTCCAGCATGGTATTGGCTGGCTGAGGTTGGAGATAGGATCACTGGGTTGCTTGGCTCTGTCTTTCTCTTTCTCCTTCTCTCATGGAAGAAATAGATAAATACATTTTTAAAAAACATTAAAATAACATGTAGTCAATCATTTTGAATAAATCTCATCTCCTATAAAAACTGCCGAGAGAGAGAAAGTGAGAAAGCAAGCCACCAGGTCCAGGACTCAAACTGCAGTCAGCCATGTCAGAGTCCAGCAGCTTTAACCACCATGCCACTTGCCAACCCCTCCTGTATCATCTTTTATATTGTGTTGTCAGAAAAGTCATGATACATAGAAAAACAGAAAAACACATCATGATGACGCAGTAGTATTTAATCTAGTTTTCATTAGTAGTTGTTTTTTTTTTTTTTTTAATCTTTCTTTTGGAGAGATTTTTGCTAAAGGGCGCGTGCACTCGCCAGACAGACAGAAAGATAGAAAGCGAGAAATCACCCCCCAGGGGAGATCGCTACACTACAATTCCGTCTCCTCCATTCTCCTCTCTGGGTCTTGGGCACACACGCACACGCATCCGGTGTGAGTTTAAGCCACCGGGTCCCGGACGCGAACCGCGGTTGACTGTGTGGGAGTCCAGCAACAGCCATTACACTAACTGCTGGTTCCTTCATTAGTAGTTTTGGAAACATACTCTTGCAATTAAATAGTGGCTGATATTTTTATTTTAATAACATCGGGATATATTACATAGAACTACAATTCCAGAATATAAGTTTTCTAAAGGATATTAACTTAAAAAAAAAAAAAAAAAACTACCCAGTTTCATCTAGGTAAAGAAACAGCTTTTGATACAGAGACTGCTTCTGAAACAAAGAGATTGCTATATGGCCTTCAAAGCCTTTGTCTTCTATATATTGCTGTCAGTATACTTTAATTAATTAGTGATATTAACTCTGTACTTTTTATCTGCAGACTCTTCTGATATTTCAGTACAGTGAAAAAAATTCCTAAGTCTGTTTTGAGTAGTTTTATCCAGATCTTAAAATGCAGTTGCTATTTTTAAAATGCGTTGCCATGGTGGTACTGGCTAGTTATATAGGAGCTCTGCACAAGACTAGCTCTGTCCTACGTTTTTCACTAATGATATAGAAAATGAAAAAATGCTTTGGTTTTATGTTAATGATTTTAAAAATTATTAGTTTGCAAACTCTCATTGGGAGCATAGAACTGTGCATATAATAATGAATAAGATACATTTCTTATCTTTACCAATCTCATGATGTAGCAAGGGAAATATATATGTAAACGAATAATTTCATGACAGCAAGATAAAACATATTACAGATGTATGAATTACAGAGATGTGAAGATCAGGGATCACTTTTTGGTTCTCTACATGAGGTAGTACTGCCTCCTCTTCTAACCGTACTCCATTATTCCAGAATCAGGAGCCTTTTCCTTGTCACAGTGATTGAGAGAATCTACTGGCCTTTAATGAGTAGGACTAGGAATGTGAAATACCCTGTAGTCTACTGGACAGTCCTATAACACCAAGTATTGTCCTGATGAGAATACCAATAACACTTAGGTTGGAAAACCGCTATCCTATTCATGTCAAGGTTTCACTGAAGAGTTAGTCTTTGAGTATCTACTTTATGCATGATCCTAGGTGTGTAAAAGCAAATACTATCCAAAAATAATGTTCTTGTACTAGTAAAATGTGGCTTACTGGATCTCAGAATCTTTCAAAGACCATTTAATCAAATTTCAGCTTTTGTTAACCCACATTTTAAAATTGAATTTCTTGTTGATCATATTTGAGGACAGTAAAACCTTAAGAGAGCCTGAGTTTAGTTATAGTACCCTCTCCTCTTGATTTTCACTGTTTCTTCTTCTACTTTGTATGTTCTCTCAAGAGAGTTATATTGTTTATGAAAAATTATTTACTGAGATATTTTTAAATTACGTGGATTTTCTCTTCTAGGAGAATATCGACCAGCAAAGTGACAGTTCTAGGTTATGGTCTTTTAACTGCAGATGCAGAGATTTTGATAGATGCACTGAATAATCAAAACTTCGGAGTGGTTATAGTGGATGAATCACACTACATGAAGTCCAGAAATGCAACTCGCAGCAAGATTTTATTGCCCATAGTACAGAAAGCCAGAAGGGCCATTCTTCTTACAGGAACTCCAGCCCTGGGAAGGCCTGAAGAGGTATTAAAATTCTTATATTTTGGGCTTTAAAACCATGTCAAATTAAAGCAGACACCTATTTTATAATGTTTAATTTCAAATTAGATGCCTTAAATGCCAGAAGCATATATTGGGAATGTCTAAATAGCTAATAATGATTAAACATGTCTTTTATTTTTACTCTTCTTATTTATTTAGATGTAAACCTCAACCAAATGTATAGGAATATACATATATACATATATAAAAATAATTATTATTATAAGGTTTAAATATAAGTTTTATATATAAAAATAATTATTATTATAAGGTTTTATTATACTTTTCCAATTTTTTTTTTTTTGGAAAGGTTTTTGCTATAGGGTGTGTGTGCTTGCCAGACAGACAGAGAGAGACAGAGAGACAGAAAGTGAGAAATCACCCCCCCAGGGGGGATGGTCACGCCGCAATCCCTTCTCCTCCATTCTCCTTTCGGGATCTTGGGCACGCACGCACACGCGCCCAGCGTGAGTTTTAAGCCACCAGGTCCGGGACGCGAACCGTGGTCGACTATGTGGGAGTCCAGCAACATAGCCATTACGCTAACTACTGGTTCCCATAAGTTTCCATTTTTAATACAATTTGTCATATGTGTTCCTGAGGTTCTGCTAAAGTTAATAATCTTCACTTACCCTATTTTACATTGTCAGTTCCTTATGATTGGGGGTGAGTATACTTTATTTCTAATTTTTTTAGTATATTTTTGCTGTAATAGAACCTTTTCTTAAATTTATTTTATATTTTCTTACATTTAATTGTACATATTTATGATATATATGTTTTCTTCTTTCTTTTTTTTTTTGGTTAGGTTTTTTTAGCTATAGGGCATGTGCACTTGCCAGAAAGACAGAGAGAGACAGAAAGCGAGAAATCACCCCCCAGGGGAGAAGGCCACGCTGCAATCCCTTCTCCTTCATTATCCTCTTGGGTTCTTGGGTATGCATACACTTGCGCCCAGCGTGAGTTTAAGCCACCGGGTCTGGGACTCAAACCGTAATTGACTATGTGGGAGTCCAGTGACATAGCCATTACCCTATCTGCTGGTCCCTATAATATGGTTTTTTCAAAGCATACATCCAGTGCATGATAACCAAATTGAGGATATTTGCCATATACAGTATTTTCAACAAAGAACCTTACATTCCTTTTTTTAGAGAGAGATTTTTGCTATAGGGCATGTGTGCTCATCAGAGAGACAGAAAGCAAGAAATCACCCCCTGGGGGAGCTGACCATGCCTTAATCCTTTCTCCTTCATTCTCCTCTCAGGATCTTGGGCATTCATGCACATATTCCCAGCATAAGTTTTTAGCCACTGGGTCCCAGACTCAAACTGTGGTTGACTACTTGGGAGTCCATCAACATAAACATTATGGCATCTGCTAGTCCCAAACCTTACATTCTTATGTCTTTTCAATGCTTTTTTGCTGAGCCACTTCCACCCCACCTCAATAACTAATCTCTACCCACACAGTCTATGGTATCAACTCTTGTCCCACCTACTGTTATATCTTTAAATCTTTCCATTTTTGTCATCGTGTGAAGACATATGGGAATAGATTGAATGAGAATATACCATGTTTGTCTTTAATAGTCTGACTTATTTCACTTAGCATTAGATTTTCCAGCTTCATTCACTTTGTATCCAATGACAGTGTCTTGCTGTTCTTTATGGCCAAGTAGTATTTCATAGTGTAGATGTGCCACATTTTTTTAATCCAGACACCAGTTGTTGGGCACTCAGGTTTATCCCCTTGCTTAGTAAATAATGAACAAAGCTTCCATAAAAATAGATGTGCTAGTGTCTTTCTGACTGCATGTTTTCCTGTCCTTTGGGTAAATATCAACGCATGGGGTTACTGGGTCATATGGTAGTTCTATTTGTAAAATTTTGAGGAACTTCCACGCTGTTTTCCACAGTGGCTATACTGATTTACACCCCCACTAACAGTGCAGGAGTGTTCCCTCTTCACTACAGCCTTGCCCACACTGACCATTCTTAGTTTCTTTTTTAGTTTTTTTTTTTAATAGCCATTCTGATTGGTTGATATCAAATGATATCTCATTATGGTTTTTTTTTTTAAGAATTATTTTATTTATTTATTTTAATTTGACCAGAGGGACAGAGAGAGAGAGAGGAAAAATGAGAAAGCATATTCAGCTCATTTGCCAATCTTTTAATTGAATTACCAGTTTTTCTGCAATCAAGCTGCTTGAATTTCCTATATATTCTGGTTATCAATTTTTTATCTGAAGCATAGTGTGCATATATTTTCTCTGAGTGTTACCTCTTCATTCACTTTACTTTTTCCATTGCTGTGCAGAAGCTTTTTAGCTTGATATAATGCCACTTGTCTATTTGTGATATTGTTGATTGTGCCTTAGGAGTCTTAATTCAAGCAGTCTTTGCCTACTCCAATGTCTTCATGTGTTTTCCTGGCCTCTTTCGCAAGTAATTTTTTTTTTCACAGATATTTGCTATCGGGCGTGTGCATGCTCTGGAGAGACAGAGATAAAAAGAAACAGAAAGCGTGAAGTCAATCCCCTGGGGGGATGGCCATGCTGCAATCCCTTCTCCTCCATTCTCATCTCGGGATTTTAGATACACACACATATGCCCTCCCAGCATGAGTTTGAAGGCACCGGGTCCAGTACTTGAACTGCAGTTAACTATGTGGGAAAGTGAGGTAACCACTTTGCCTTCTGCTGGTCCCATTTCCCAAGTAATTTTATAGTTTGAGATTTTACATTTAGATCTTTGATCCATTTTCAGTTGAATTGTCTACTTATTTCATAGATCATTTTAGAACTTCTTTCTGTTCCTCTTTTCTTACAAAATCTACATATGAGAAGGTAGAATGAAACTAGAGCTGATGTGTGTGCGGGACAGATAAGGCATATACTTAAAAATGGAGGAATAAGGCATTTGTTTGATAACTCATTTAGCTTTTGCCACTCTGAGAAACTAGTGGTGGTTAAAGGCTTAGAAAGAAGAAATGATGGATGAAACTCGTTTGAGTCTGTAAAGAATTTTCCTTAAGAAAACATTGTCTATGAATGAACACTGAGTCATAGGAAAATATAGACTTGTTTTCTTGCAAAGTTGTTGGGAGAATTAAAGGGAATATTGCTTTGAAAATACCTAGACGTGTGCCCTAACACACATTAAGCGCTTAATATTTGGTAGTTACTATTAATTATTAAGCTAACGCTGAATAACAGCCTTTATTATTGTCTCTCTAACGGTATTTCTTAGATTCGGCCTTTAGATTTCAGCCTGGAAGTCTTCTGAGATACACCTAAAAACACATAAATAGTGGTGATAAATGCTCAATTTTACATTGATATTTTTGACTCTTGTAGGGCAATGGATGGAAGAATAGACTCCATGTAATTTTCTTAATATTCCAAAATCATGTCATTATAGGAGAAATTAAATTTTCTTAAATTTTTAAGGAAATTAAGGAGATACATATAGTAAAAATGATAATGATAAAATGAATACTTACCTATTTAGCATGAGAAATAGAATATTGACAAAGCAACAGTGACTATTGTGTCTCACTGTGATCACATGTCAGTACTTTCATCCCACCTTCAGGATAGCCACTGTTCAAAGCAAGGGTAAATACAAGTTTTGTGGGTCCTGATAATTGCACAGTTTGTATTTGCAACTCTTTAAGAAAAATAATATAAAATTACAAATTTTAAGTGAAGAATTTTCAAATTGGGACATGTGAATCCTCTAATTTTGTTTCTGTTTTTCAAGATTATTTTTGATATCCCAAGTACTTGGATTTCTCTATAAATAGTCTGATTGGCTTTGTCAATTTTTGCAAAACATCTAGCTTGAAATTTTATAGATACTGTAGTGTACTTTAAGAATATTTTCATTTTAACAGTATTAAGTCTCCCAAAGCATTAATACAAAATATCTTTCCATTTATCTTAGATTGTCTTTAATTTTTTTACAATAGTACCTCGTAGTTTTCACAGTATAAGTCTTTCTATCTATTTCTTTTATAGGTTTTTGCCATAGGGCACATGCATTCCTCAGAGAAAGAGAGCAAATGAGAAATGAGAAATCACCCTCCCAGGGGCGATGGCTTTGCTACATTCCCTTGTCCTCCATTCTCCTTTTGTAATTCTGAGCACACACGTACACATGGCCAGCATCATTTCAGGCCACTGTGTTTGGGACTCAGACCACTTTTAGCCATGTGGGAGTCTAGTGCCTTAAACACCATGCCACCTGCTGGTCCCTTACTTCTTATTTTCTAATCTCAAGTACTTTTATTTCATTTTTTTTCTTACCTAATTGTCAGAGCTAGAACTTTTACAATGTTATATGAAAGTAGCAAGAGTGAACATCCTTGTTTTGTTCCTGATCTTAGAGAGAAAGTATTCAGCCTTAAGGTATGATCCTACTGTGGGTTTCTCCTAGATTTTCTGTAATTAGGTTAAGGAAGTTCATTTCCATTCCTTGTTTATTGAATATTTAATCATGAAAATATTTGGAATCTTGTCATTTTTTTCCTATATCTATTGAGAGAATTATGTGTTTTTGTCCCTTATTCTATTGATATGATGTATCATATTAACTAATATTTGTATGTTAAAAGAATCTTAAATTTTGAGGATAAATCCCAGTTTGTCATGGTACATAATCTTTTTCTGTGTGTTGTTGGGTTTGGTTTGCTAATATTGTATTGATTCTTATTGTGTCAATTCATAAGAGATACTGGTTTACAGATTAATTGCGATATATTGGTCTGATTTTGGTATCAAAGTAATATGGCCTCATAGAATGAGTTGGAAAGTGTCCCTTCTATTTATTGGAAAAGTTTGGGAAACATTAATCTTGCTTTTTAAAAAGATGTTTGGTAGAATTCAATTGGCCTGTGCTTTTTTTCTTTGTGGGTAGATTGTAGATTAGTAATTCAGCTTTTTCATTGACTGTATTGGGTTGTTGGAAATGTCATGACATATTTTTTCTATGTTTTTCTGTGCAGAAATGCATCATGACTTTTCCAGTAACCCAATATGTCTGTTCAGATTTTTTTTTTCTTTTTGAGTCAGTTTTAGTACCTTGTATATTTCTAAGATTTTGATCATTTCATCTCAGTTATCTAATTTATTGGCAAAATGTTGTTCATAGTATTCCTTCTTAGACTCTTGTATTTCTGTGAAGTTGGTAGTAATGTCACCTCTTTCATTCTTGATTTTAATCATTTGAGTCTTCATTTATTTTCTTAGTCAATTTAGCTTAAGTTTTGAAAGTATTGATCTTCCAAGAAATAACTTTTAGTTTTAATGATTTTTCTCTTTCTGTTTTCTATTTCCTTTATTTCAGTTTTAATCTTTATTGTCTCCTTTTTGTATTTGCTTTGGGTTTAGTTTGCACTTCCTTTTCTAGTATCTTAATGTGGAAAATTAGTTTATTGATTCGAGATCTTTCTCCTTTTTAAAAAATTATTTTAATTTAATTTATTATTATTATTTTAAAATTTTACTATATGCCATCTGCACTCACCAGAGAGACACAAAATGAGAGAGTGAGAGGGAATGTGAGAAAGCAAGCCACCAGGTCTGGGACACAAACCAAAGTTGGCCATGTCAGAGTCCAGCACCTTACCCACCAGGCAATCTGCTGGCACCTTTATCTCCTTTTTAAACAAGGGCATATGCAGCTATAATTTTCTCTAAACTTTGATTTTGCAGCAACACATATTTTTGTGTGCTGTATCCTTAATTATATTTTTTTCTCACTCTTATTTCTAATTTCCTTTGTTATTTTTTTCTTGGATAAATTAGTTATTTATGCATGTCATGTTACATATTAAAAAGATGCAAAGCACCAAAATCACTTTGGAAAATTCTTTGGCAGCCTCTTAAAAAGTGAAACACAAAGTTACCATTTAGCCCAACAACTCCATTTGTAGGTATTTGCCCAGGAAAACAGAAAACATGCTCACAAAAAATTATGTACAGATGTTTGTTTGTTTATTTATTTATTTATTTATTTATTTTTCAATTTCAAGAAAAGCAGATTTAATTTTAATAAGTCAAAGAAATGCGGGAACCAGCAGTTAGCGTAATGGCTATGTCGCTGGACTCCCACGGAAGGTACATGAACCTATCGACAGCTCAAGACAAGACAAAAAACCTTAAAATCAGAAAACAAAGCCTAGAAAAAAATCAACACTGTTTTAGTCAAAAGTCATAAAATTCTATTTCACCAGTTCAGTCTCATGTACTTTATCTTTTGTTGTGATTCAGTTTTCCCAATTAAATTCTGGAATATAATATTCAACTCCAGACTTGTCCACATGATTAAGTAAGTTGGCCATTTTCTTAGTTTTTGAAGTCTTATTTCTGTGTGACTGTATTTAATTTTCCTGGTATAGCACTCCCTGCAGAATCTCTTGGAGATCTAGTCTGGTGTTGGTAATTTCTTTCAGGTTTTGTTTATCTGAGAATGTTCTTTTCTTTTCTTCCCATATGAAGGATAATCTTGCTGGGTATAGTATCCGTGCTTGCAGTTGCTTTTCCCTTAACACTTTGAATATATTTTCCCATTCCTTCCTCACTCATATTGTTTCCGTTGAGAGATCCACTATTAGCCTGATTGGATATCCTGTGTAGGTAACTTTCCATTTCTCTCTTGCCAATCTTAGTATCTTGTCTTTGTGGTTTTGCTCAGTCTGGCTATAATGTGTCTTGGAGAAGATCTTCTTGGGTTGACTCTATTTGGGGTCCTTTGTATTTCTTGGGACTATATCTTTGAATGCTTCTCTAGGTTTAGAAAGTTTTCTTCCAGGATTTCATGGAATAGATTGTCAATGCCCTTATGGGTCTCTTCTCCTTCTGGGATACCAATTATCTGTATGTTTGGTGGTATCTAGTATTTCTCGTATAGTATTTTCATGTTTTTGGACAATTTTCTCAGTCTTCGTGGTGGATTTTTCTAGGCCAGTAATTCTATCTTCTACAACTGAGATTCTATTTTCAGTGTGACCTAGTCTGCTTTGAATACTTCCAAGGGAGGTTTTGACTTCCCTGTATTATAGTCTTCATCTCTAACAGGTATGTTTGATTCTTTTGTAAAATATGTAATTCTTCTTTTAGATCTTGCAAGAATTTCCTCACCTCCTGAAGTTTGTCAGCTTCTTTCCCTTACCTCTTCAGCAGTTCATTGTCTCTCTTCTCTTCAATCTCTGTGAACTTTGTCACCATGAAAATTATAAATTCTTTATCAGACATTTCCATGAATTTCATCATACTGTCTGAGGATGAGGAGGATTTATTTTTCCTTGGAGGAGAGATATTTTCTTGTTTTTCCATATTTCTTGTGACCCTGCGGTGATTTCTAGACATCAGATGGATGGTGCATTTCTTCTAATTCTTGAAGTTCAGTCTGAGTGTTCAGAGGCATGCAGGAGGAGGCGATCTGCAATCTGTCTTCCATTCTGTTCTCACTCTTTGTGCATCAGAATCAGTGGGAATAGAGGAATATTCTGACCCTAATATTCAGATGTATAGAGCAGGGAGACACAGAGAGACAGAGAGAACTGGAGACAAAGAGACAGGTAGCACTACCCACTAGAAATAAGTGAGGAAGAAGTCTCAGCAGGAAATCTTCATTTTAAATCTCTGAAAGCACTAGTTCACAGCTGAAGCTCAGGATCCATGTGGACTGTACACATGTTTATAATAGCATTATTCACATGATACCCAAAATGTGAAAACAAGTCAAATGTTCCTCAGTTGATGAGTGGATTAAAAAAATGTAGCATATTCATATAATGTAGTATTATTTGACCACAGAAAAGAATGAACTGCTATGTATGCTACAACATGGATAAGCCTTGAAAACATTACACTAAATGAAAGAAGCCGGACATAAAAGACTACATATTGTATTACTCTGTTTATATGAAATTTTCACATTAGGGGAGTTCGTGGAGCCAAAAAGTAGATTTGTGTTTGCTAGGACTAAGGGAGAGAAACTAGACAGTGAATACTAATGTATGTGGGTTTTCTTTTGGGGATGATAAAAGTATTTTGAAATTAAACAGTGCTAAATAATGCATAACTTTGTAGATAATCAAAAAATAGCCCTACTAAATTATGCACTTTAGAAATGTGAACTTTGCGGGATAAAAATTACATCAGAATAAAGCTATTATTTTTAAAAGTATACTAAAATAATAATGACACTATCATGTGCAACTGATCAGGGTTGTGAAAATGAAAAGATTTCATGATACTACTAATAAAGTGTATAGATTGAGACCATCTTTTTATTGGGCAACATGATAACATCTGGTGAACTTTAAAAAGCATATACTTTAGGGACCAGCAGTTAGAGTAATGGTTATGTTGCTGGACTCCCACGTAGTCGACTGCGGTTCGAGTCCCAGACCTGATGGCTTAAACTCACGCCAGGCACGTGTGCGTGTGTGCCCAAGATCCCAAGAGGAGAATGGAGGAGAAGAGATTGTACCGTGGCCATCTCCCCTGGGGGGTGATTTCTCGCTTTCTGTCTCTATGTCTCTGTCTGTCTGGCGAGCGCACGCGCCCTATAGCAAAAACCTCTAAAAAAAAAAAAACATATACTTTAAATCCAGCTGCTCCATTTCTAAAAATATATCCTCCAAACCATCTAATAGAAATGCAGATGGATGGATGGATGATAGGTAGATAGATAGACCGATCATTGATAGATATAAATTTAGATACATATACTTACACTGATGTTTGTGTACATGTGTATACATACCCACACGCAGTAAAAAATTAAGTTATTTCTGTAGCTGCCTAAAAACCAGAAACAGCCCATGTTTAATATCAGTAGTGTGTTTAAATATTTACTGTACATCTATATAATACTAATACTAGGTCATTGGGAAAGTCATAATGCATTTTTGCATAGAAAAATGTAGAAAAATACTTCATGACTTTCCCGATGACCTAATAGATTACTAGCCAGCCTTTAAACAGTTCTTTATTATTATAATACATTCTTTATCATTTTAATTAAAAAATATTTTAAAGAGATTTTGTCATAGGGTGCATGGACTCACTGGAGAGAGAAAAATGGACAGTAAGAGGGAAAGTGAGAAATCACCCGCCCCCCAGGAGGGATGGCCATGCCACAATTCCTTCTCCATTCTCCTCCTGGGATCTTGGCACATACACACATGTGCCCAGCATGATTTTCAGGCTACTGAGTCTGGGACTCGAAATGCAATTGGCTGTGTGTGAGTCCAGTGACATAACCATCACACAATTTTCTGGCCCCCTTATATCATTTTTAAAAAATTAATTAACAAATATAGATATACTTGCAAGTGTCAGACATTTTGAGGGACAAAATTTTAGTTGTATAACAATATGTATATTATCCTTTTCATGTTAATAAAAGATAATATATACATATGCTTATACAGGCATGAAAAATGTACAGACATATATTTAAGAAACAGGTAAACTATCCCTAAAGAAGAGCATGACAGAGATGGAGCTGAGAAGGAAACATTTAGATTTAAATAATAAGTAGATTTTGTTTGACTTTATACTGTTTTATTAACTGGTTTTATCATGGTAATAATAATTCACATACAAACATTATAACATATTATGAACACTTGTATTGTTACAGCTTTTCATGCAAATTGAAGCTCTCTTTCCACAAAAATTTGGAACATGGTCTGACTATGCCAAAAGATACTGTAATGCACATATCAGGTATGACAAAACTACTACATTTATCTTCATACATTTGCTGTGAACGTTAGGCTTTATTGGTCATTCTTTATTACAGTATTTTTCAAGCTTGTAGCAGCTGTGGAATAATTTCTTTAAGTAAAAAAGCTTGTGTGGACGAACTATATGTAAAATACATAAAATAGGGGCCAGCAGGTGGCCCCTTGGTGGTTAAGACACTGGACTCCTACATGGCCAACCACAGTTTGAGTCCTCGACCTGGAGACTTGAAACTCATGCTGGGCACATGTGCGTGTATGCCCAAAATCCCAAGAGGAGAATGGAGGAGAAGGGATTGTGGCATGGCCATCCCCTGCAAGTTGATTTTTCTCTCTCCCTCTCTTGACTCTCCCTGTCTTCTCTGACAAATGCATATTCCCTATAGCAAAAATCTCTCTTAAAAAAATAGTAATACGTAAAATAAATAGATAATGGCAAGAATATTTTGTTTGCCTTTTTTTTTTCCATGAGAGAGAGAGAAAGAGGGAAGACAAGCATCTCCACCAAGACCTTCATACCACAATCCAACTCAGCCTCAGTCCACCCAAATGAGTTATGTGTATGTACACCCAGGATGCACCACCTTGCCACCCCTTGGGTCCTTTTTTTTTTTTTTTAAAGACAGAGTCTTGCCATGTCACAATCCTCCTATCTCTGCCTCTTTAGTTGAAGGGATTACTGATTCATACCACCACACCTGGTTATTTTTTTGGCTAGAATCCCTCTGTGTTACCTAGACCAGCCTCAAACTTGTGAATCCCCTTCCTCAGCTTCTATAGTTGCTGGGATTACAGGCATGCACCACCACACCTGCCTTCAGGTTGGAGCAGGAATTGAACACTGGCCTTCCATGTGATCTCAGTCTGTGGAACACAGTGTCTTCCAGCTTTGCCACTACAGCTTGTTCTGGGGATTTTTGTATGTGTGTGTATATTTTTTATCTTCCACTTTTTTCTTTCTTTTTCTTTATTCATGATAAAGCACATACATGGGAAAGGAAGAGAGTGGAGTGGGGAGAGAGGTAAGCAGTTATATGGCTTTGGTTATACTGCAATCCCCTTTCTTCACTCCACCAGTCCATTAGATCTTGAGCATTTGTGCCTGTACCCAGCAAGTTTTCAAGCCAGACCAGGGACTGTCATTGCAGTTGCCACGTGGGATCTGACTTCTCTTCAACAGTGCATTACCACTATACCATGGAGCTGACCTTGCTTTTTTATTTTAAGAATGATTTATTTATATTGACTACATATACATGTACATTATACAAAAATGAAATAAATGCTTCTTCCACCCTTGCTCCCACCCACACTATTCTTTCTCAAGTAACTAATATTGGCATTTTCTTGTGTATCTTCCTGGAGACACTATTTGCATGAACAAGCACATAATGATTATGCATGTAAAATAGTACTTCTTTTTATTTTCTTACATATAATAGCATAATATACGTATCTTCTGTAATTTACCCTCTTTACCTGATATATATTAAAGATATTTCTGTATCAGATACTGAAAGAGCTTTAACATTCATTCTATTGGGTTGTTGGTAAAGTCATGACTTATTTCTCTGTTTTGCTGTGCAAAAATGTGTCATGACTTTCCCATGGCCAATAAATGCTTTATTTATCCCTCTGTTTGGAATTTATTTATGCAGTCTATGTTTAATGAAAATTTGCTTATAATACATGGCTGTGACATACAGTTCAGCTCCAAGGTCTTGGTTCATTGAGAGGTGGTTATTAAAGTGGTTAAGAGCATGGGAACCCAAAGCTAGCTCACCTGTGTTTGTTTTGTTTGTTTGTTTCACATTTACTACTTAACAGATGTTGCATTTTATAAAATAACTTTACCTCTCCATACTTTAGCTCTAAAAATGGAATAATTATGCTTGCTCTGAAAGTTATTATGAGACTTACATGAGCTAATATTTAGCAGTCACTGCTTGAGTAGTGACTGTACATAATGAACACTCAGTTGTTAGCTGTCTTAGTATTTCATGTCTTAGTATCATGGCATTAAATCTAAGATTAATGTGTAGAAGTGAAATTGCTGGTTCAAAAGCCATGTGTATTTTTGTAGTATTCAACTTTCAAATCGTGCTACACAGAAGTTATACCAATGTATATTTCTGCTAGCCATAATATTGACTCTTTTTATTCATTTAGCCAACATGGTGAAATATCAACTATTTTATTCTTACAAATCTGATCTGTTGTCAGTTTTAATGTACATTTACATTGTGTTAGTAAATGCAGTTGAACAGTTTTTATACATATATGAGTCATTTTTATATTTCTTCTTTTGTCTATTTATAATCTTCTATGTAGTAAATTTAGTGAATTTTTTCTTATTGGTAAGTTGGAAATCTTTATATATTATAGAAGTCATCTCTTTTTATGTTAGTTATATGAGTCTTTCATGTGTTTTCCCCAATATATATGCTTTTTTTTTCAGTTTCTTTAATACCCTCAAACAAGTCCACATAGTTATGACATTCTGATGATTACTTTTTCTTTTTTTTCTTGGTTAAAAATTTTCTTATTTATTCCATGAAACAGAAAATGATTCTTTTTTATTTTTAGAGAGATTTTTGCCTTAAGGATGTGCACGTGCCAGAGAGCTAGAGAGACAGAATGTGAGAAATCACCCCTCAGGGGGTATGGCCACAGCACAATCCCTTCTCCTCCATTCACCTCTCAGGACTTAGGGCATGCACGCACATGTGCCCAGCGTGAATTTTAAGCCACTCATTCTGGGACTCAAACCACAGTCAACTACGTGGGAGTCCAGTGATATAACCCTTACACCATCTGCTGGTACCCATAAAGATTTCTCTTTTGCCTGAAGTTATCTACAGACATAATATATTCAGTAAATATTAGAAGATTTTTCTCTTAGATCCAGAAAATTTATTCTAATGATTATTTGAAAAAAAATAATCAAGCAAGAATTGTCAAGACAGTTATGAAAAATAGTATTATGCTCTCCCTTCTTACAACAAATTCAATTCTAAGTTGATCAAATATTTAGACATTATTAAATAAAACCATAAATAAAACATAGAGGAATTTTAACTTTGATTAGAAACATAAAAAAATTTTTGCCTCTGTAAGAACTTAAAACATATCTCCCTTTATAGAAAATACCATATCTCAGGGCCAACAGGTAGCATAGCATAGTGGTTGAGGTGCTAGACTCCCACATGGTTGACTGGTTTGAGTACCAGGCTCAAGTACTGGACCTGGTGGCTTGCTTTCTCACTTTCCCTCTCTCTCCCTCTCTCTGGTCAAATTAACTAATGATAATAATAACAAATTAATTAAATAATTCTAAAAAAAAGAAAATACCATTTCTCAAAGTAAAAAGAGCTAGGCCATGGCATGGTTATTAAGGTGGTTGGATTCCACAGGGCCAACTGTGTTATTTGAGTTGTGGACCTTGTGATTTGAAAAACATGCTGATTGTGTATGTGTGTGTGTGTGTGTGTGTGTGCCCTTCAAGTTATAAAAGTTAGAGAGATGGAAGAGAAGGGATTGTGAACTGACCATTCTTCATGAAGGGTGCTTTTTCGCTTTCCCTCTTTCTCTCTTTCTCTTTCTTTGGTAAGTGCACACACCTCTGGCAAAGTTTTTAAAAGAAAGTAAAGTATCTAATTTTGTCTTACAAATTAAAGATAAGGCAAATTTCTACAACAGGAAAATATTTAAAATATATAAACTAACTATTTATAGAAAAGGACATATAAATAGTTTTTAACTAGGTTAAATCTCATAAGAGAAATGTATATTGAAGTTATAATAAGGTACTACTTTTCATTTATTATAATTGCAAATATTGGGAAATTTGGTAAGTCCCTATGTCATTGAGCATATGAGGAAATGAGAATGTAATGGACAACTCATCTATTGAAGCCAATTTTGCTATATGTACCAAAATTTGCTACATCTGACTGAACAATTAAAATTTTAAAAGTTTTAAGCCATCCCTTGGCCTGGTGGTTAAGGCAGATGGATCCCACATGTCTGACTGTATTGTTTTTTTTTTTTTTTAGAGGTTTTCGCTATAGGGCGCATGCGCTCGCCAGACAGACAGAGAGAGACAGAGAGACAGAAAGCGAGAAATCACCCCCCAGGGGGGATGGTCACGCCGCAATCCCTTTTCCTCCATTCTCCTCTCGGGATCTTGGGCACGCCACACACGCACCCGGCGTGAGTTTTAAGCCACCGGGTCCGGGACGCGAACCGCGGTCGACTACGTGGGAGTCCAGCGACATAGCCATTACGTTAACTGCTGATTCCCATGACTGTATGCTTTGAATTCTAGTACCAGTGGCTTGAAAAGCATGCTGGATGCATGGTTGTCCAAAATCCCAAAAGGAGAGAGAAGTGGAGGAAAAGGGGTTGTGGCATTACCATTCCCCATGTGGGGTGCTTTCTTGCTTCTCCCCTCTAACCCTATCTCTCTCCAGAAAGTGCATACACCCTCTGACTAATTTTTAAAAATTTCGTAGTTTATCCTATGATCACATATCCCATTGTATATAATTGTTTATGATTTTATAGTATGTGTATGTTATCCACATATGTGTGTATTATATACACAAAAGCATATAAGTATACATACACATGTATACACATATGTGCATAATAAAAATTTTATATTTAATAAATAGTGAATGGTTGCCAAGATCTCCATCAGTAGGGGACTGGTTATATAAATTACGGTACATTTGTACAATGGAACACTATGCAGTCTTTGAAAAGAGTGATACACCTCTTCATGTCATGGTAACAAAGAATTTTCAAGATACATTGTTGAGAAGAAGCCACGGGCCTTCAGGACAAGGTTCCACATGGCTACAGTGAACTAGATTTTTAAGGGAATGAAGATTTTCTACTAATAATTCAGCCTCCAACAAACGAGCTAGCAGTAGGGAGCTCCCCTCTGCACCCCCAGCCTTCTCTCTCTGTCTCTTGGTTCCTGTCTCCCTGCTTCTGTCTTCTCTTCATGCCGCGCGGTTTTCTATTTTGTGATTTTTTTTTTTAAAAGAACAGTAATTACAAATTTTAAATTTTTTAAAAATTTTTTTGTCTTTTTTTCTCTTTTTGTTGTTGTTTTTCTCTGTTCGTTTTCCTTTTTCTTGTCTCTCCACTGTCCAATACCCTTTCAATGTGTTTTTAGACAGATCTAAGAGCCCTGTAGCTAAACATCCAAATACTAATAGGGTTAAAATATTCCCCACTATCTACTGAATCTGCTGCACCAGCGAGCACAATAGAACGGCAAAGAGATTCTAGATCACCTCTGCCTGCTTGCTCCTGAACATTAAGGCTGAACTTCAAGAATTTGAAAGAAACACAACATTCATCAGAGGACAAGAAATCACCGCCGGATCACGAGAAATATGGGAAAACGAGAAAATACCTCTCCTCCTAGGGAAAAGAGTAACTCTTCATCCACAAGCAGTTCGGTGAAAATCATGGAAATGTCTGATAAGGAATTCAGATCATTCATAAT